ATAGACATTCCATATTTGGAAAAACGAACGTTACGGGGCAGATATTCAAATTCATTAGTCATCGATGCAGGCTCTCAATTCAGCTTGAGAGCCTGTTCGCAGGCTAATCGACGTCATAAACACCAAACTTGATGGTCTTTATGACGTCGAATATCGACGTAATAAACACCAAACTTGATGGTGTTTATGACGTCGAATATCGACGTCATAAACACCAAACTTGATGGTGTTTATGACGTCGAATATCGACGTCATAAACACCAAACTTGATGGTGTTTATGACGTCGATATTCGACGTCATAAACACCAAACTTGATGGTGTTTATGACGTCGATATTCGACGTCATAAACACCAAACTTGATGGTGTTTATGACGTCGAATATCGACGTCATAAACACCAAACTTGATGGTGTTTATGACGTCGATATTCGACGTCATAAACACCAAACTTGATGGTGTTTATGACGTCGAATATCGACGTCATAAACACCAAACTTGATGGTATTTATGACGTCGATATTCGACGTCATAAACACCAAACTTGATGGTGTTTATGACGTCGAATATCGACGTCATAAACACCAAACTTGATGGTGTTTATGACGTCGATATTCGACGTCATAAACACCAAACTTGATGGTGTTTATGACGTCGAATATCGACGTCATAAACACCCAACTTGATGGTGTTTATGACGTCGAATATCGACGTCATAAACACCAAACTTGCTGGTGTTTATGACGTCGAATATCGACGTCATAAACACCAAACTTGATGGTGTTTATGACGTCGAATATCGACGTCATAAACACCAAACTTGATGGTGTTTATGACGTCGAATATCGACGTCATAAACACCAAACTTGATGGTGTTTATGGCGTCGAATATCGACGTCATAAACACCAAACTTGATGGTGTTTATGACGTCGAATATCGACGTCATAAACACCAAACTTGATGGTGTTTATGACGTCGAATATCGACGTCATAAACACCAAACTTGATGGTGTTTATGACGTCGAATATCGACGTCAAATACACCAAACTTGATAGTGTTTATGACGTCGAATATCGACGTCATAAACACCAAACTTGATGCTGTTTATGACGTCGAATATCGACGTCATAAACACCAAACTTGATGGTGTCTATGACGTCGAATATCGACGTCTTAAACACGAAACTTGATGGTGTTTATCACGTCGAATGTCGACGTCTTAAACACGAAACTTGATGGTGTTTATCACGTCGAATGTCGACGTCATAAACACCAAACTTGATGGTGGTTATGACGTCGAATATCGACGTTATCAACACCAAAGTTGATCGTGTTTATGGAGGTCGAATATCGACGTCATAAACACCAAAGTTGATCGTGTTTATGACTTAGATATTCGACGTCATAAACACCAAACTTGATGTTGTTTATGACGTCGAATATCGACGTCATAAACACCAAACTTGATAGTGTTTATGAGGTCGAATATCGACGTCATAAACACGAAACTTGATGGTGTTTATTCAGGTCGAATATCGACGTCATAAACACGAAACATGATGGTGTTTATGACGTCGAATATCGATGTCATAAACACGAAACTTGATGGTGTTTATGACGTCGAATATCGACGTCATAAACACCAAACTTGATAGTGTTTATGAGGTCGAATATCGACGTCATAAACACGAAACTTGATGGTGTTTATTCAGGTCGAATATCGACGTCATAAACACGAAACATGATGGTGTTTATGACGTCGATATTCGACCTCATAAACACCAAACTTGATAGTGTTTATGAGGTCGAATATCGACGTCATAAACACGAAACTTGATGGTGTTTATTCAGGTCGAATATCGACGTCATAAACACGAAACTTGATGGTGTTTATGAGGTCGAATATCGACGTCATAAACACGAAACATGATGGTGTTTATGACCTCGAATATCGACGTCATAAACACGAAACTTGATGGTGTTTATGACGTCGAATATCGACGACAGAAACAC